TATATAAAATTGGAGAAGTTGAAAGCTGAAATCTTTTTTTCTCAGATGTTTATGGGAGATCCAATTTGAAATTATTGGCTTTCTTGTTTTCGTTCGAAGATTCCTAGTTTTTTGTTTAAAAATGTTACGGTTTTTTCAATCATTTAAAAATTTTGTTTTTATAATTTCGATATACGATCAGACCGTTTTCATATAACTTTTCTGCAGAGTGATGGTCCTTTATTCACCTTCAACCCGCATATGATTATTCCAATATAAAAACCACGAAGCGATTTTGTGTTGTTTTCCTCAGAATCGAAAGTTTTGACGGAAACCAATTCAGTAGTTGATTCCTAACTTAAGGTTTGCCTGGTTGATTACCTAAAAGGGCTTTCGAAATTTTTGGCTAAGTGTGGTTTCTTTTTGATATTGTGTGCGTTAGAGCATCTTGTTGTAGTATCGAGAGTCATAGCTGCAAACGCAGGATTTATACCAGGCAGATAATCAATATCTACATCTCCTATCAATCTTCCAATGAAAATCAAGGTGAAAACACCCTCCATTGTCAACAGGTTAGTAGATTATTTTCGCGCAACTCAACTGAACTTCTGATTTTTCTTTTCACACTATTCATGTAAATATTGTTGTGACGAAGAATATTTTCTTCAGGGTGTTTAGTTATCCCTATAGAAAAACGTATTTGCTAGCTAGATTCATATAAATTGCAAAGAATCGCTTTCGTTTCAATGATTTCTTTTTGTCGATATACCGTAGCAGTGGGCTGCTACGAATTTCCGAGGCGTCAGTATTTCCATAATATTGTTAGAGCAGTCTGCACCCCTTTGCAAGGTTATAAGGATCACCAAAAAAGCAGCTTAGGCTTAGTTCATTGAAAAAATTTAAGAAACTTGCTTGCTCAATTGATGGATGTAGCCATATAGGACGAAACTGCAGTTACGTTGGTTATAAATAAAAGTGGTATAGTCTATTCATTCCTAATTGGAACGGCAAAAAAATGAGACTACAGGCATAAACATTTCTTGTCTGTGGTCCCTAGTCGCCCAGATAGTTAGTAAACGTGCAATCAAACGTAGTAGAGGAATGAAGGCTCGGAAGGCTGAACTGACTGAACACTAATTTTTTGTACGTTTCACAATATTTTTTCATCAGTGCCGTGTGTTCGTGGGGTTAGGTGAGGTAGTGAGTGGTTTTGCAAACCGATTTTTGAAAACTATTTCAAGAGATAATTACCCTATCACCAAACTGATATTTTTGTACTCGACGTGCGTTTCCCTACCAAGGTTAGCATCTTCAGGAGAAGCAAATTGATACTGAATCTAAAGACAAGGCTTANGCCTGTCCAACAATCAGTTGAAATTAAATATAAGTCATGCGAATGACTATGATTGGAAGACAACTAAACTATAAACAATTTTGAGCATCCATATGAATTGGAACTAAAAAACTTGCTATCTTTATTTACTTGGAGCAGCGCAGTAAAGTTGAGATAACGAAAGTAATCTCTCAACTTGAAAACAAACTAGACGGACTGGAGTCAATATTCTCTACATGAGTAATTGATAATGATGAAAACAATTCGTTACCACGTCAACATAACTGTTCAGTAGCGTGTTTGCAAAACATTTTAGAAACATGAAATGAGTTCCTTCATTTCTGAAATCGTGTAGTTTGTGAATTATTTCCTCAAATTGATTTCTATTTCAGCAAATCCTGACTTTCAAACTGATTCAGCGGTTAGTGAAAAAATGTATAATGGTATGTAGGAAGTGTAGGTAAAGTTTTCATTAATGGAGCCGTAAAGGTTTTCTGAAAATTCGTCTCTTCCGATAATAAATTATCGGTATTGTTACGTTTTTCGAATTGAATAATACAGTTTATTGTATGATTTTCACTATAAAAGGTTTTACTAAAGGCGCGACACGTGTTCCGCTATACAATCGTAAACTTGAAAATGCTTGGGAAGGCTATTGTATAGCGAAACACGTGTCGCGGTTTTTGTAAAGCCTTTTATAGAAAGAACTGTATTAATTAATTCAGTAATGGATTTTCATCGAGTTTGTTCCATCAATGTTACTTTTTTTCCGTGGGTTTGCCGATAATTGACTATACTCTACAATGATCAAACTTGACTTCACGCCACTCTTAATTCAACCAAATACTTCAACTGAAAATTAAAACTAATATTCAAATGTCTATCGCCTCATTTGAATTCGCACCGCACTGTCCCTTGCCTTTTCTTCACTATTGGATATGCGCATGGGTAGTGTTTATATATGGTTATCGAATTTACTCGAAGCTAATGGAGAATTTTCTGAAAGTCTATCGAAGCGATGCGGCATTTTACTAGAATAGTCGCGAAGTCTACGTCTTTATTGGACGCGGTCTTGATCACATCACAATTGATTTATGACGACCAGCAGCAGCTGGCGTTATTTTTTTTTTTTGGGTGGGATGATTAACAACAGTATCATTATTGAAGCCGTGGTTTTATGTATTCGTAAGATTGAAATTATGATTGGGTTGAATAGTCGATGGTGTTTGTTGGATTGGATTTTGTGTCATTACTGAAAGTCTTGGGTTAACCTGGCCTAAAATTTTGCATTTGAAGGTTTGGTCATTGAAAATTTTGTTGAAAACTTTGGAACATTGTTGGGAATTTGGTTTTCGGATTTTTTTTGTTTCGGAGGACTTTGTTTCACAGTTCTTTCATTTTGGATTCGTTTCTTTCGTTTCTGAAGATTGTAAAATTTTTTTTTGTGTGAAGTTTTTGTGTTTTTGTATTGGTTGAGATTTTCATTCAACTTTTGTTGTTGGAAATGGAAGATAGTTGTAGTTCTCTTTCAATTCTTCCAATGCCTTTTGAGCATTAAAGGTGGATTTTTGGCTCAGAAGTATAGGTAGTAATCTTGCTGAAAGGGTGTTTAGTATAGTGGTTCCAATAAGATCATGTTGGATCTGCCTTTCTTCTGGAGTAAGCGGTTATTTTTGAATAGCTGTACCAATTTGCTGGTTTATTTTCGAGTTTGTTCTTGATATGAAGTCACTACATTCTGGAACTAGAGCAGAACATGTAGACAAAAAAAAGATCAGTTCAAAACAGGAAAAAATTTCGAGATGATTATCTGTCGTACCTACCGAAGAAATGTTTATGGTCCGGCTGCAGTCCAATGGTTTAGGTTCATAAGTTTTTCTTTCTTTGGAGAACTAGGACCACAGGTTCTCGCGTGTTACACTAGTGTTGAAGGTCCAACTAACTGCGCCAAGTTTGTGAACTTCAGCAAAATTTTCGTTCTATTGAGAAAGGTAAGCGATTGTCATTCCGTGAGTTACAAAATTGATACAAAATATTTGTAGTGCATAGGTACACAATGTTATTTCACTTTGAACTTGATCAGGAGAGTCAGTGCACAGGGAATTCTACATAATCGATGAAATATGTGGTGTGGAGTAAAAATTGAAATATTTACAAGACATTGAATTTCACTAGTTCGGACTTCCATTGTCTACTATATAAAATGATTTGAAATCCCTGAAACAAGTAAAAAAGAATAATTAACAAAAGGATAGCTGAGAATAACAATTATATTAAGCAACAATAAACCTGAAATGAAATGATAGTGAAATAACCTACAAGTAAAAATATAATAATTGAATAAATATAAATTAAAGGAATGAAAAGAGAAAATAATAAAATAAAAAGTGTAGAGATTCCAAGTCACGTTAGTTCACGACGTTTCGATTGTTGGTATCTACAATCGTCTTCGGGTGATGACTGGACTGATTCCTCCGAGAGATGACTATTTTATAGGTCGTTGAAATACTTTCACTTTCTCTGCTTTCTATTTTCCGCTTCACTGATTCCGTGAGAGATGACCGTTTTGGCGGGAGTTGGCCATTTTTCGTTTGATGATGGGTTTCCATATGTTTCGTATTTCTACGCTGGCCTGGCTGAATACGTTGTTGGACAACATGTATGCGGCTTCCTTAAATTTTCTCCTAAATCAATGTTCCTCTCTGTGCAAGATCTCAGCTTGGGACCACTCGATGTTGTGTTGATGGGCCCAAACATAGTCTGCTATTCCTGATTTGCTGGTTTCTCCTCGCTGTGTGTGCTTCTTGTGCTCGGCAATGCGAATATTCAATGGCCTCTTAGTTTCACCAATATAGGATTTTCCGCACTCACAGGGTATCCGGTAAATGCAATTCTTGGAATCGCAGTCTGCGTTTGGGGGCCTGGTTTTCGTGAGGCTGCTACGGATAGTGTTACCGGATCTGAAACAGGTTCTGATGTTGTACTTGGAACCAATTCTTCTTATCCTCTCCGATAATCCTCTGATGTAGGGAAGTGCAAGCACTGGTTGTGACGGCTTCTCTTCCTTGCGAGGCTCCTGCTGTCTTTTAGCCAAAGTCTTTTCTACCATCGCTTTGGGGTATCCATTCCGCTGAAGATCATTTTTGATGATGTCTAGTTCCTTCTCGAGACCTTCCTTTGTATTACAGAGCCCAAAAGCACGGTCCAATAGAGTCTTGATGATTCCCCTTTTTGTCGATTGATGGTGGTTGGATTCGTGGTTCAGATACTGTCCCGTATGAGTGGGTTTTCGGTATACAGATGTTTCCCACTCAGTGTCGGTCCTCTTCATCAAAACGTCTAAGAATGGCAATTCGTTGTGGATTTCCTCCTCCATTGTGAAAGTGATGGAAGGTATCACGCTGTTGATGTGTTTCAGGAAGGGTGTCTAGTTCAGTCCTCCCATGGTTCCATATTATGAAGGTGTCGTCAACATATCTCAACCAGACTCGAGGTTTCTTGTGACTGGTGAAAGTGGCGATCCCATTGGCAGTCCCTCATCTTGTGTAAAGAATTCGTCCTTCAGTTGGAAATAACAGTTTCGTACACAGCATCCTAGTAATTCCATTCGTTCTCTCTTTCAGGTTCCCGTCTTCGGATAGCTTTCTCTGTATAATTTGGAGTGCTTCTTCGACCGGAACGTTGGTGTAAAGGCTTTCCACGTCGAAACTAATTAGTTGATCTTTCTGTGTAACCTCATAACATCATTTTATATAATAGACAATGAAGGTCCGAACTAGTGAAATTCATCACGAAACATTGTCAATCACCTCCAAACATTTACAAGACAGTTGCAACTGATACTGGCTTTTTCTGATTCAACGAACAATTATGATACAATGTATCAACTTTTTCATTGGAGAATGTCAGTGACAATTTTTTGTTCCTGTGTCTAACTGTTTGTATGATATATAATAATTTGTATGATTGCATATTCGTATGATTCATAATTTACATGAATCATAAATGGAATTGTTCATTCTGGATTACTCAGAAGCGCCTTTTATTAGCAATTTTCAATCACATTGAATTGAATGATGGTCCAAAGCTCTTACTGAGCAATTATCTATGTTACAGAATCCAAGCAGTAAGAATTGAACAATCAATTTCACTTCCAGCCTTTCACGGTGTCAATCACACTTTTACGCTGACGACACTCAAATGTACATATCCTTCAAGCCAGAAAATAGTAGGTTAGCAATAAACAATGTCAATAATGATATGCCGAAATCAGTACCTCCTAATGACCACTGTCTCCAAATAAATCTCTTCAAAGCTGTAGTGTTATTATTTGGATTTAAGGCTGAGCATTTGAAATTTCTGAAAGATTTTATTATTAAAATCAACGATGAAATCCTTCCAATAGTTGACAATGCCAGAAACTTGGGTTTGCATATGGACTATCAGCCTCCATGTTGAAAATATTTTGGTAAAATTAAACTCTTGTATGGATGTCGGCATATTCTGAATCAGCAAATTGAAACTGTTTCCTCAGAATCATTGATCTGGTCCCAGCTCACCTTCGGCGATGTGATTTATGGTCCTTGTTTGACTGTAAAAGATGAGTCACGATTCCAAAAAATTCAGAATTCGTGTATCAGATTCATTTACGGTTTGAGAAGGTGCTTCTATGTATTGGGTAAACTAAAGGAATTCAGCTGGCTGAATATGAAGAAAAGAACATTTCTTCGTGGTGCATGTAACTTTCACAACATTTTGATAGAAAAAACATCTGAATAACTCTGTGAACAATCCACAGAAAAATCGAATCTATATTACACAACCCAATTCTTGCTTATACAAACGTTCATTTTCTCATAACATAGGTAGTTTCCTGAATGCATCGCCCCCAGATATTATAAGTACAGAAAACATTTTTCAACTTTCAATAAAAGATCAAATCCGGTGTACCTTCAGTCAAGATGGTATTTCTGAACTCTTCTAATTGATTTTCTACAATCACATCTGAAACATGTAGATTTAATTTGTTGAAATTGATTGAACACTTTTACTACTTCTCTCGGAGCAGACAAAGAAATATATTGACATTCAGTTACTTTTGTGTCAGGTCTTCTGAATGAATTTAAACTAGGAGAAGCTTGTAGTTACGATGAGAAAGGTTGTATTAGTGTAATTAGAGACCTTACTGGATACATGATATCCAAGTATCTAATAATAGAAGGGTAGGAGGTTAAGTGGTGGAGCAGGACCTTACTACGTTTTACGTAGTGGGCTACTGAATTTTGCCTCTTAGGTCAGCAATAATTTGTAAATGAATGTAAAACACATTTGTTCCGTTTTGCATACTGTTCTAATGAAGACATATTATTATTATATATTACTTCCATATTTGATTTTTGAATTACCTCAATAGAAATATATACAAAATGTGATCTTTCCGAAGCTTTTATTTGGCGTTATAAAAAAATGTTACTGCTCAAAGTAGACGAGTTGAAGTTAATTGGTATCAAGAAATGTTGTTTGAGATTTTTGATTATGGGAATATCTTCTTGGCAGGTTATTCAATGTTCATATCAGTTGCCTGCAGCAGAGGTTGCCTGCAGCAAATTTCTACACATATACCTACATGAAAACATTTATTACATTTATATTCATACAAACAACCACATTTTCATTTTGTATCAAGAAATTCTTTGATACTATAGTAACTTTCGTTTCGCAAATGTACTTTCAATTTTCATTTGAAGAAGTTTTTATTCCGTTGCTCTCTCAGGTTTGCAGAAAAGATGATTCAAAATCTTAATACCTCTATATCAGGGGCTTTTTTCATAGAATGATGAGCTGTGTGCAGGAATTCTGATGAGGTCTACGTTTCTAGTTGTGTAACCATGGCAATAAGAAACTGTTTAATACATCTCAACATGTTGCATAAATAACATTATACCTTTGAAACCATAAATAAATGGAACTGTTAATATTTTATATTTTTGAAAACATGGTCTACAAGATTCATCTGGTTTTAGATTGAAAATGCGTCGAATACTTCTTTTTTGGGAAACAAATATTCTGTTTAAATAACTGGAGCATCCCCAGATGTTGATGTTATAGGGTATGTTGTAGTAGATTAGAGCATAATATATATATTGATGAGTTGATTGGTATTGAACATATTTTTCAATTACAATATAACATAGTAACCTGTGTTCTCTTTTTTGCTTATGGTATCAATATTATTTTCCCAACCCATTTCACTAATTATATAAGTTCCAAGGAATTTTATAACTTCAGAAAGATGGATGGTGCTATTTTTGACAACCACTTGAATATCAGTCACAGACTTCCACCTAGAATGAAAATGCATACAGGCTGTTTTCTATGCATTCAGTATCAAAATTTCTTTCACACCAATTCATGAAGTCATCTGATAAATTATTTTTTTTGAAAGTCTTCAGGACTATCTGCATCAGTGGCCAATATAGTATCATCTACATAAAGAACTACTGAATCTGAATTGATATAGTCAGGTAGATCGTTAATGGATAACAAAAAAAATAAGCAGCCCCAAGATCGATCCCTGAGAAACTCCACGGTGCATCTCATAATATTCATATTTATGCGCTCAGATTCAAAAAAGAAGACCATATTTCTGCCAATTCCGTCATTTTGTATCATCTCAGAAATCTACACGCGTTTATTCAAAAGGGAAATCTATTATTATGAATGAAATGAATAGAGAATGGTTGAAATATAACGAAATCGAATACTTAATGAACTGGATAATGTATATATCAGTTTGATAATTTTTCTTAATTCTTGTCAGTTCCTACACTTTCGCGGTTCTATTTTTTATATTTTGATGATTTTGCATTGTGATGAAATGAATAAAGATTGGTTCAAATGAATAAAGAATGGTTCAAATATAAGGAGATGAAATACTGAATGAATGAAGTGGATAATGTATAAATCAGAACAATGGTTTTTCAGAATTTTAGGCAGTTCTTGCACTTTCACGGTTCTATTTTGTCGATTTTGATAATTTTACATTAAGATTTTCCGATACTTCCGAGAAATGAATGAAAAATGGTTGAAATATAACAAAATCAAATACTAAATGAATGAAGTGGATGATATATAAATTAGTTTGATGGTTTTTCTGAATTCTTGGCAGTTCTTGCACTTTTGCGGTTCTATTTCGTCTCTTTTGATAACCCTGAATTATGATTTTCTAATACTTTGAAAAAATGAATGACGAATGATTGGAATAAAACGAATTGAAATGCTAAATGAATAAAGTGGATAATGTATAAATCAGTTTGTTAGTTTTCCTGAATTCTTGGCAGTTCTTGTACTTTCAGCGGTTCTATTTTGATGATTCTGCATTATGATTTTCTGATACTTTCATTTTTAAAATGATCTACTCTGGAAACTGAAACCGATTGATTGAAGGATTAAACGACCTCCCCATTTTGTCACAATGCGACTCGTCTCCAACAATACCCCCTACTCTGATAATGAATAACGATCTTGTTGATCTTCCAAGAATGGATATATTTTTCTATTCATTGTTATATTCAATGATATTTCGAACTTCCTTTGAATTTCAAATGGGAAAGTGGAAAAACTGCTATTAACTTTGTCTGACCTGATGGTCTTCATCAGTGTAGTATAACCGAGTTTGAAATGGATAACACTTGGTTAGAAGCTATAAGCTCATCAACAGAAATCAACCGCACTAATCTAATATGTTGGGTGCGCTTTTTTGTATTCAAAGATTTTCTAAGTGAAGCCGTAGGTATCAATTTCATAAATAATAACAAGAAACAAGTGAAAAAGTCGATAGTAATATACTCTTTTTTTTCAAAATCACTTCATTATCTGAGTCATTGGAAACGATTGGCAATTTGTATAATTCAGCAGGTAGAGAAATATGGATTTCTACTAAACAAGTGATGTGATTGTTTCGAGAAAGAAAGGTTTGGACTTTCTACTTCTCCAGAAACTTCCAAAGGAAAAAAAAGCAAATAATTTCGAAATGAAATAAACTCTTCACAAATATGTTTAGATCACGCATAGACGTTACTTTCAGACATAAACTGTGAGAAAAAGCCCTTTTTCGAAAAAATTAGGCTGAAGAAGTAAAAAGCCGAAACCTTTTTTCAAAAAATGTGCCCCTTTCGATTAATGAACATTTTATGTCACTCGTTGATGAAATTAAGTTGCAATATTATCATGAGCCTTAAATAGTGTCAAATGACGTCTGGTATCTAGTGTGTTATTTTTCCATTGAATCGTTACTTTTGTCATCATTCCAGGTAGTTTCACGAACTAATAGCGGAATTACTCTTTCAGGTTTCATTAATATAGATCGCTTTGAAGGTTTCGATCTTGATACTACCCAACTGATATTGAGAGACATGGCCCTTTTTCATGCTGTACCACTAGCACTCCGAATGAAAAAGCCAGAGGTGTTCAGAAATTATATTGAACCGTATTGCAATCGTTTTCGAGAAGGACAAGATATCATGGATCCCATGATAAGGGCTTCGGAAGCTGTACTGAAAGAAAACAAAGCAGTAGCTAGCTGGGCATACAAAGTTAATGAGAGTTTTTACAAACCAAGGTGTGCTTCCAGAGAACCCTTCGTTACACTCATACATACTGATTTGTGGACTAACAACACTATGCAGAAGTTTGTAGATAGAAAACCCGTTGCTAACAAATTCATCGACTTTCAAGGTTTTTATTACGGCTCCCCGGCATCAGATTTACTTTTCTTCCTTTGGTCTAGTGTACCCAAAGAAGTTCTGGAACTACATTTCGATGACCTGATCAAGTATTACTACGATCATTTCATCAAGGCTGTGAATGACCATAGTTTCATTGATTCCCGACTCAACTTCCAGAATTTCATGAGAGAAATAGAAATTGAATTTGAATATGAGTTTGGACACGCTCTAGTTTACTGCTTGACTGTAGTTAGTTCCAAGGCCGGTTCTAGGAATATGAATGAACTTGGAACGCCAGAGGATTATCTGAAACGCATTACGTTGAAGGAGAAAGAGAATGCTTGGTTTATTGTTCGGGATTCTGAAAGAAGAGGGTGGCTGAAAAAGTAAAATTCACTCGGAGCAGAACTATAAAATTCAGGAAAGAGAATTGAAACTTTCTATATTTTTTACCACTTCTATTCGTATCTGAAGTTACTGCAGTTTCATCCTATAAGGAAATTTTCAAACTTATACATTAAAACTTATACATTATCTTATACATTAGCTTACTTATACATTAGCCCTTATATACCATCCCTGTAGATAATGATAGGGGTCCATTCTCAAATTTGATCAAATCCCAGCCATAGGATTCTGGTTCAAATTGATGGGAATACGTTTCAAGGAGAGAATGATTTTTGGGAAAGGAAGGTTCTGGCTTTCTCCTCCATCCTCGTACAAAAAATATGGGAATCTTCCAAAGGAAGGAAGAAAGCAAATGACTTCGTGGTGAATTCTTCACAAAAATTTGTTGATCATTCAAAGAAGTAACTTTCAGAAACTACTTTTACATGAACATTGAATTGTACAAAAAAACTTCCTATTCAGTTTGTACTCCAAACATTCGTTATGGAATTGAATCAGATATCATTCTGTACAATATAATATATGAAAGAGGTAGAAGTTTCACTTACATGAAACACTGTCATCCTCAATGGCGAACATCGATGTTCCCGAATAAGACACCCGTCTTATTGCCTTTTCAGTACCAATCTGGCTAACATTACAAGATAGAGTATTCAATTCATTCATGAAATCCCAACCCCTTCATCACGAATGACATATATGACAGTCTATAATGACGTTCACTTGATTATGCGATTTAATCATTAAATTGATTTATACTAATAATAATTTCAAGGCGTCATTCAGTATAGATGATGCATATCAATTAGGAAATGATGTTCCATAAATCTTTCTGACTTGGACATGGCTAAAAAATCAATCGATAATATAAGAAAGTTCATAAAAAGCAATCAGGCGATTGAAAGCAATTGAGAATCAAAACAAACCGTCACTTTCGAATAGATGGGGAGTTTATGAATCATTCTTCTCCGTAACTTTCTTTCTTTAACAAAGTCATATTTTGAAATGTAGCTTTATTGATGAAATCGGAATTCTGAAAACCAGCCGTGTTGTTCTTTAATATGACGTTCTTGCAGCCGACAATCGAGTATTGTCCACTTTCATTTTGAAATGTGTCTATTTCACAGATAAAGTATTCTGGGTTGGCCTTGACGTAAAACAAAATATAACATCCTTGAAGCAAACACTTAGCTAGTACTTCAAGTTGAGTTCGAATCATTGATGTTTGTGACGTTCTAGTCGGTAATCATGAGGTCAGTTATAATTGTTGCTACTTGATATTATTATTTGATTATGAAACGGTGGTTTATTTTTTCTACAGTAATTACCAACCCACCAATTGCGGTGTATTTAGTTGGGAAGGAAAAACGAGTTTCTGCCCTTATATCTCGTACGTATTTGATTTTTTTTGTTTTTTTTTGCGTGTGTAGTTTAATAGTCATTTTATCTCTTCAACCAGAGAACGATGGACATCCGAACCAAGTTCCTAGTCAGATTCTGCGAGATCTTATGGCAACCGCTGAAATTCCTGATCTTGATGATGTACAACTATGACGTATGTACTTATGTGATTTCTTTTATTCAGATTCTTTTTTATTCTATTGTAGTTTTCAGATGTGAAGTTGTAAACTTTTCATAATATACAACCGTAAGACTGTATTGTAGTAGTGGTTTTGTATCCTGATTGAGGAAAATTATGAAATCATTTTGAAAAAACGTTAACTTTTGATTATTTTCAAATCCCAATTACTCAAGAAATGATGTGATATTGCACCTAATGAATGAATTTTCAAATATTTTTAATAGCAAAAACGTCATATTTTTGAATTTGACCTGTCATGTGGACAACTTATGCAGCCAGAACGTCACAAACCAAACGGAGCCCTAATTTTTGCTATTTGAGTGTAGTAAACACCAAAAAATAAAATCAATTTCGGTGGTTTCTAATACTGCTTCATCCAGTTGATATCAAAATCAAATTACATCAGTATTGCAGAACATTCCTGGGTATTTTAAAGAACAACAACACTTTCAAATGCTCCTCCTGAAAAATCGCCATTTTCGAATTATGTCATTTTTGCAGCAAGGAATGGATATATTTTACCAAAATCCCGAAATATATCAAATTTAAAATATAATTCGGCATATTTCAGCGGAAAAATACTACCCCTACTTTCAATCCCCGTCGAATGACACGTACAAACCCAATTTTTTTAAATGGGAAATACAGGGCTTTTCATGATGAGCGTTAATTAGCCGTTTCTGAACATTCTTGAGCTCTACATCCAATTTTAGATTACCTTCGTTTAGATAATACTATTTCTATTGTTGAACCGTTTTCGAGATAAACTGTTTCAAACGGAAATTGACATGGTTTCCTTGTTCATCAGTCATTTTTGTAAAACAGATTTCGTTTGATGTTTCTCAATTAGTCACAGATAATACAATGAAAAGATAATCATTAAAATACTCCTCAACCATCGAATAAAACTTCTCTTCAAACAATAGTTTCATTAACGCTGAAACACGAAATGAAAATAATAAACCCATAAATCATTGAGTTAATTTAATCGTTAATGTATTTCAGAATATGTTCAAACACATCTCCACCTCTACTTAAACAAACATGTAATCTCTTCAAAAGATTGCCATGCCAATAATGACTGTTGTGTCTAATGAAAACTCCATTTTTTGTGAACTTGGCCTCATCTGTCCATATGATATTGTCAAGGAAATGTTCATCCTCATGAGTCTTGACAAGTAACCATTCAAAGAATTCCACTCTACGAGGTAAATCAGTCTCTTTCAAATGTTGGACATAGTAGAACTTATAGGGATGCCATTTTTGCTTATTAAGAATTCGACAAATTGTCACTTAGGGTATACCTATCTCCCTTTCAGCCTCGTGCAGAGAAGCATTTGGGAATGCATGAAAGTATACCAAAACTGTTATACCATTGTCATCATCATCATCCACTTCAGTCTTCTTACGAATGATTTTTGGACGGAAGGTTCCATTCAACCTACAGTTTTTTAGTAGTCTATTTATCACATTATTATTCGGCTTCGGAAGTTGTGGATATCTTTCATGAAATACTTGGCATGTTCTACTTGCAATTCCATTGCACTCACCATAAATTATTATTAAATTCAAGAAATCTTCATTACTGTAACCTAATCTTGACATTATTCTATTATAATTGGTAGCTATCACAATCAGTCAAAACCACCAACGAAAGTCTGACGTTAAATAATTGGTTTATTTATTTTTCCAAAGCACACTATTGAAAAATATTAATGTGTACTGTTGTACGTTAGAGACCAATACCTCAATGTATACAAATTGTAACTTTTTCTAAAGGATCAAAAAGAAATATTACTAAGTATAAAAAAAAATGTTGAATATCCAAAATAAATGATGAATTAAAAAAAACAAGCAAGAAAACCACGTTAGTTTCCGTTTGAAACAGTTCATCTCGACAACGGTTCAAAATAAAAATAGTATTATCTGAACAAAGTTAATCTAAAATTGGATGTAGAGCTTAAAAATGTTGAAATATACAGGGTGTTGTATTTGAAAAAATTGAGTTCCACTCATTTCTTCATGAGATCAAAGTATCTGCATTTTTGGAAGACCCTGTATGTGGCAAATGAAAAAAATGAGTTCCACTCATTTTTTCATGAGATCAAAGTATCTGCATTTTTTGAAGAATAGGTCATATTGATTTATGCATACCGTGAAATTTTCAGGTTGATCCGTTAAATAGTTTGTCAGAAACGGCTAATTAACGCTCATCATGAAAAGCCCTGTATAGTTTTGTGATATATCGTTGAAATGTCTCGTCATTCTCTATTCAAAAATATTATCGCTTTCAAATTTATTGCAACGATTAAAGGAAATCAAATCAAAATCATGTGGTTACCGAAATTCGTTAAAATACACTTATTTCATGTTGAGGTATTGATGATAACAAAGTAAGCAGAAACCATTGAAATGTTCTTTTTAGATGGTATCCTTGGAAAAACTGTAAATAATTTTCGTAGGTTGTGGAATTGGCCGCGGTGGTAGTGCGCCCGACTCATGATCGGAAGGCCGTGGGTTTGGTTCTTGCCTCGACCAGATATTTTTCTCGAGAGAATTTATCTGGTTGAAGCTGAAATGATTCTGCAACCGTGTTAGGAATCACACATTAAAAGGTAAGACCTCGTTAGTCCTCAGCTAGCACAAGTTTCTCAACTTCTGAGAGTTGTCGTTCGTATGGGGGCAACAGCTGATTAAGGAAAAGACATATTTTAAACAGATTTTTTAAAGCAACGTTAGTTCAAAACGCCTTGTCGAATTGTTTTTTATGGTACAACATTAGTTGTCAGTATTTCAATTCAAGTTAACTTCAAGTCTGACAAATGGTTAAATTAATGGAAATGCATAAAATATCAGTTTTTCAAATGATTGATTACACAGATGAAATCCGAACCCAACAGGAAGTAGCTCGCCTATTTCATTTATCGCCCATATCTCAAGGAACAATAAGCAGAATAGCGAAGCAGTTTCTCGAGCTTGGTCATGTGAGGCAGATAAAAAAAATCTGCCAATGCAATGTGTCATCAACTCAAATTAGATGTGATGCTTGGTTTGAGGAAAACCCATATAAATCGAGTAGACACGTATCCACTACATTCAATGTCAGCCATACATCGATAGTAAACATATTGAAAGAAAATAAAATGCATTCATATAAAATGATACATACAATATCATCCTATTAGAAGACGTTATGTTTTCTGATGAGTGTACTTTGTCTCTTAATGGTCATGCTAATCGGCAAAATTGCCGCTACTGGTCAACAGAAAATCCTCACTGGATCAGAGAAGAACACACGCTATAACCTCAAAAGGTTAATGTTTGGGGAGATATTGTAGGAATCCATATCACTGATCCCTTTTCCATTGAGGGCAACTTGAATGGCGATAATTATTTGGTAATACTTCGAAATGATGTCATTCCAAGTTCAGCAAATTTATATCCTCATCCAGGAAACCTTCAAGTTCCAGTGAATACGATATGGTTTTAGCAAGATGGAGCACCACCATATCACCAAGTAGATAGGTAGGCGAGGATTGATTGAATGGCCAGCGCGATCACCTGGTCTTCCATCATTAAGTTTTTTTTTATAGGGATATGTAAAGAGCAATGTGTACAAAACTGAAACTTCAGATTTCAATGACTTGAAAGAACGAAAAACGCATGCGATTAGATCGGTCACGCCTGATATGTTAAATAATCTTAGAAGACAGTTTGATTTGGGATTAGGATGCTGCCAAGACGTTCGCGGTGAACACTTTGAACATCTACTTCGTTAACATCCATAGTTCTTTTTCATATTCTACATTTCATTGAGTTTTGCATCATTCGGTAACCACATGATTTCAATTTATTTTACTTCAATTGTTGCTATAAACTTGAAACTTGGTATTTTTACGTTGAAGAATGTCAAATTCTAATCTACATTTGACGTTTTTCAAGATTTTTTTTCAATATGTACAGCAACCGGAATAATGAATTTATTGCATTTGGTTTTTACAGATGTATGTTGTAGATGCGCAATAGTTGAGGAATTTGAAATATTTCAACTGGGCACATAAAACAAATTCATCTTTTCATCACTGTTTCTCTATTCTCTCAAATTCCGGATTTCTGGTGGCTGAATTTATATTGAGTATCAGCACTGCACTCGTGCGGAGCCAAGGTGGGTTGCTAGTCTGAAATAACGAGTAGAGCACTTTAATCGTTCATCGACGATTGAACAATATTCTCTAAGGAACATCAAAAGTTATCATCGTCTCAGAAACAGCAGAAAACTTCCTGAAAGCAATTAAGAAATTAAGCGTTGGAGCCTTGAAAGTTGGAAAATAATGACTTTTCGTATCAGGAGTTTGCATTACAAGATTCATTGAAAATTCAACGCTAGAAATGTCAGCAGAGCTGTTAAATGGATATGGCTTGATAGTTGAAGATTAATTTCCATTAAATTGCTGAAGAAGGTCAAGTCTCTTAAGACACGGGGTATGCCTCGAATAATATAATAGTGGTGCACTTTATTTTTATAAAATTTAGTGAAGAATCAGTATTTTCTTCAATTTTTAACGAAACAGGCTGAGCGTCCTAGTACACCAAGAAGAATACTGATACTATGATTAGAGAAAGCAATTCTTCAAAAGGTTGACGGCAATTATTCATCAAATACCCAACAATAACCTGCAAAAATCATTGTCAGTCATTGAGGTTTTTGTATACGGTTTTACATACAAATTTATTGTTTTCATACCACAAATACCGAGTGCAAGCACTGTTACCTCGAGATTTTCCGAGACGATTGAATTTTTGTTATTGGTTCCTTCAAAGAATTGTACAAAATCCCAATTTCATAGATGAGCTGAGTTTTTCGAAAGATGCCATCATAAACTGCAACAACAATCAATCAACAATCATTCTTTGACTTATGATAATCCCCACACTACTGTAGAAAGTGTAGCAGGATTTTGAACGTCTGGGCGAAAATTTTTGTGATCATCCCATGATGATGTGAGTTGAAGACAATTTCTAGCAGAGACATTCCCAGAATTATTAATGGATTTACCTTTGCTAATAAAATGTTATATGTGTGCACGACAAGACATCTGCTCATTTCAGTGTAATCAATCGTGCTGATACTTTGGTCACCACTAGATAGATTGTGGGAGACCTCAAACATGGCCACCTAGATCTCCGGACTTGAACACCCTCTGGTTAATTTCTTTTGTAGATATTTTGGATTGTTGGTTTGTGCGACACCAGTTGTCGAAATAGAATTATGCATAATTCCATTGTCATACGCAACACCCCAGGAGTTTTTGAACGTATGCAGCACTCGATGAGGAGAAAAATTGATGCTTCTATTGCAAGTGGAGGCTCTAATTTTGAGCATCTGTTTTGATTATCATTCATCATTTCCTATTCTATGCTGTCTGAAAGTTTGTTCAAATGGCGACAAATATCAAAACACATTTTCGAACTCAAATAATGCGTATTCTCCATTTCTATGATACTGACTCTAATTTGGTATTGTTTATCTATTTCAAACAATATCGGAACATAGCGAAAACAGTGGCGTGCAATGATTTTCACCATAAATATGAATAGAAAACCTTATACGAGGTCACGGGAATCAAAATTCAAAATACAATTTCATGAAAAATAGGTTTTTGTTACCCATAACAAACATAAGTAGTTTGATCAAAATCGACTAAAATAATTGTGAGATACTCGATAACGGAGCAAGTTAGATCACGTTCATTTGAACTTTCATAAAAAAATATGACAAATAATCACCACCATTTGACGTACACCCTGTATAATCACAATATGATATTCAATATTCTGAAAGTGCTAGTCATATTACCTAATTAGAATTAACTCATCTACTGAATGGAGTTGATATACACTGATATACACAGTCAAGGGTTTCAGGAACAAATAGTTTTCAACAGATTTATTCACATTGAAATTCAAAATATTTTTATTATACTCAGACTCACAAATTCTGACGAGAACTTCTGAATTCTGTTTCTTCATGAGATTAGCCAATAGTTTCAGATTTTTGCAATCATTTATGAAGAGAAATTTCATTTTTTCCACTGGCGGGGAATTATTTAATTTCAAATCAACGCAGAACGCCACATTCAATGTTTCAAGCAAGGGGCATTTTTTCAATAATAATTCCAACGAAGTTACTTTTTTACAGCTCCTCAATATGAGCGTTTTCAGTTGTACACAGCATTTTGCTACCGCTGTGATACCAACATCCCCTATTTTAGAGCATCCTGTGAAATCTAAAACTTCCAATTTCCTCATGACTTTTGCCCCTTTCTCGAAGAGGTTTTTCACCGCCATATCGTCGATCTGATGAGAAAATCTTATTTTCATAGATGTTAGATTCTTGATGGTTTTCCACAAATGCTGAAAATCATTTCCGTCGAAATTATAAGCATAGTTCAAACAGAGATAACGTAAATTTTTGCACCGCAAAATGGAGGCAAAACTGTAAGTGCAAAGAGTCGAGCAATCCAATGTGAGACTTGTAAGTCTAAGTGCTGTATGTGACAGAATGAAGTAGCAGTCTGCGTTATTGAGGCATATTTTGTTCACTGGTTTGAACGTGGATAAATGAAAACCGTTGAGTTTTTTGCAGTTCAGAATTATCGTCGTGATATTAGACGTTGTCAGGAAAGGGTTTCCACTGAAATTTATACTCAACAAATTGTGTGCGGATGCAAGCTCTTCATAGAATATCAAGGCTTTGAATGGAGTGCCCTTCAGATCCAAAAACTCCAAATGAACACAGCTGAATATTAAATTCCTCAGAGAATCTTCATTTATTTGTGGACAGTTGCGTAGCGTGAGATATCTCAAGTTTTTGGAGCACCTACAAATCTGTCTTAGTACAACAACTGGTTCCATAATATCTTTAATAATGATTTTTTCCGCCTCATTGAACTGCCATATTTTATCGCAAATGAAAGATGTTTTCAGAGTCTTCCCAGAGAAAGTTATAGTTTTCCAAAGAGCTGGGAGTTCAGCAACAGTTCTCCATTGCTGGCACACTGGTATTATGTATCTTTTCAGTTCATCTTCTTTGAAGTATGAAAATATTCTGAATAGTACTGATCGAGGTAAGTGACCATATCCTTTCGGGTTTGGAATCAGTGAATCACTATTTTTTCTCAATGAATAATTGGCACAATTTTCTTCATAAACTGTATTCATTTTGCTGGAAATAAATATGTCATATCTGATTGTGACATTTGTCAGATGATACTTGTAACTACTTATCCTATGAAATAAATATTGAGGTTTGAAATTTCACAGGATACAATGTATGGAAGCAAAAGGAAAAACAAAAGAATTGAAACCAATGTTTTTACCCACAATTATTTTATCGTGACTATGAATGCTTAATGCACACAAGAATTACATTAACTCTTGTGAAAAGATAGAATAAAATTAATAACTGGCAAGATATACTATAGACAAGAAAAGATTTATTTTAACTGTTCTCTTACAAGGTTTGAAACGTAATGAATGATTTTATAAAAGCAGTGTTTCACATCGGTAGTTGGAGAAGAGGTTCAACTTAGTAGGAAAGGTCAGATTAACATAGGTAGGAAAAGTCATTTTAGCAGGTGAGTCGTAAGATAAGGGTCACATGAATCGAATACACAAAAGGACAATATCAAATTATTATATTATTATTGATGTCATTCACTTACCCGAACTATGATATGAGTACTGAATTTTAATTCATTGTTAATTCACACATTCTTTAACTATATGTATTTATGTATTTGTTAAATATAGTAATATATATAATGTTTACTTTCGGTGCAAATAAAATTGTATTATTATTATTATTTTCACTGTAGTGTGCGCTGGTCAGGGTCAGGCCCCTTCCCCCCAAGCCTCAATACATAAGGGATGGCGCACCAGCATTATCAACCAATGACCACTCCTCATACCGTGGGGTAAGTAATTATTAGGCACGAGAATCATGTGCCTTGAGCAACCGCAGTTAGCCAAGAATGACATCCTTCTGCATCTGTGCGGCTGAGATTTCTGCCTTAGTGCGGCAAGCCGGTATGATTTTGATATTCGAGAGTAGAGACTCCATTCCACCAAGGACTTCAATAATCAGAACAACCATCTTGACAGAGTGGTATGAGCCTGAGGGTGGGGATCGGCACTTCTCGTTCCCCACAACGGAATCAATATCCTTCGGAGCATAGGGCAATACCGGTGTCTCGTCATTAATGTGAGAGTGCCGTAGATGGTAATATAGCACTCTTAGGACCGCGTTATGTCAATGAATATAGGCCGAGACCGCATATGCTGGACATGCTGATAGCCAGTGCATTAGGGTCACTCGGGCGCCTCGGGCTGCCCTGCACCTGGTGTCGGGAACCTCTATACTCATCACGCGACTGTGGTAGACAAAGGTGTTGAAAACACCATCCAGGGAAGCCATAATGAATCCCTCAGTTTCCGACTTCAGCCCACTCGACCTCAGGAAAGCTAAAGTCAGGCGCTTTGATGAGCCATGGTCTTCAATGTTATTGAAGAAGACCCAACGCATTGGCTTATCCTTGTGTTTCCGCAGAAGTGAGGTAATCTCTGCGGCTATTATATGAGCTTTTTGCTGAACAGGTTCCACCTCGGTGACGGAGTTGTGGTTCAATGTCAAAAACTGAAGCGAGTTCATCAGCTGCTCGGGCAGCTGCCCTGAAGAGAAATGCTCCAATTCCTACTCTCTCATGGTCACGGCCCATTCAGAGAAAGGGATCCAAATTCCTGACAACTTTACAGTCTACATCCAGTACCAATCTGTCATGTAGATACTTCAAACTCAAATGTCCACGACCTTCCTGTTGTCGGAGGAAGTACAACCTTGTGACGGACGATTTGGGATGCAAACTCCAATAGAGATGCATCATTTTTCGGGTCTTTACGTCGTGTTGATACAACTCCTCCCGAGTCCACTTCACTACTCCAAACGAGTTGAGTAAGATTGGAACCACAAACATATTTATTGCAGCAACTTTGTTATTCCCCCACAGTTCCGATGACCATATCTGTCGAAGTTTGTGCTGATACTTGTCGCGGAGAGAGTTCTTCACTGCTGTTACCTCTAATGAGCGGCGTTGTTCCACTCCGAGGTAAGTTTACATCTCTTTGGCATAGAGATTGTGAAGGATGCTTCCATCTATGAGCTGCACATCCTCTCCGTTGTCCCCGCATCATCTTCTTTTGAGATTGATCATTGCACATTTGTCTATCCCGAATTTCAAACCGATAGTAGGCGTGTACTCTTCCACCACCCTCAAGGACTGATGGATATCCTTTTCTCCAGAGGCATAAAGTTTAAGATCATCCAAATAAAATAAATGGGTGACCTTGTGCCTTCGTATTCCGGGGATGCCACAGTTATAATACCCTCGAGTATTTCTGAGCGCAACGGATAATGGCAATAGTGAGATGCAGAAGAGAAGGGGACTGAGGGAATCGCCCTGAAACACACCGCTTCTGAAAGTGATCGACACTGTTTGGACTCTGGCTTGACCAGATGTTATGGTGAAGCGAGTTCGCCAGAGTGGTATCAGTTGTTCAATGCATTTCACTATTTTGTCGGGTACCTCAAGGCATCCGAGCAAATGCAAGATGAGCTCATGTGATATTCTATAAAATCCCTTACGTTAATCGAGGTTACGCTCATATTGTATCAAGTCCTGCGTTACACATCTATCGATGAGCAGGTTCTCTTTACATCCAGCGACTCCGCTCTTCGACCCTCTCTGCTCGTATATCCGTTCGAACACTCGGTCGACTGCGGTGAGTATTCGTGTGTATAATATGCTGTAAACAACTTATTACACAAGCATGTTATTGGTCTGTAATTCTTAATAATCGACAAATCTCCACTTTTGGGTATAAGAACAGTCCGCCCCTCGGCAAACCAATCCGAAATCGGCTGCTCTCCGTCCGGCCATGAGTTGAAAATTCTGGCCAGATGGTGGTGGGTGCTTGGTAGTTTTTTCCACCAATAAGGCTGAAATTTTGTATGTAGGTTTGCTTTATGTTGTAGATGTACAATAAGAAATGATTTTTGAATATTTCAAGCCGCGGGGGAAAAAGGAGCGTCCATAAAACAAAAGTATCTTTCCATCACAGTTTTTCCTTAAATTTCCGGTGTATGAATTTATATCTGCACTGCACCCGTGCGGAGCCGAAGCGAGTCGCTAGTTTTTTAATATCCTTCGGAAGGTGAAACTGAAACCTCTGGATCAAACATTCATCATGGAGCACCAGACATCGCTGTACCACAGGTCCCAGTGGTACTCGGCTGAATCACAATTGCATCGTTTGAGGCATTTGCCGTTGAAGGACAACTGCGAGAACTGTTTGTGATATACGTGAGCAAGGCTCACTTTCCCTAAGTAGATGACACCTAGGAGATCGACAGAAAAATTGATTCAGACCTTCGCGGCCAAAATTTTCATTGTTATGATCTTCATTCGGGTTCGAAGGCCATCTTGGTTTGGAACTTCATTCTAACGTTTCGCCAGCACGAGTGGCTGGCTTCATCAGAGGCTCATATCTATATTTCAGAAACTTATAGTTCAATGACATTAGTAATTTTCTAACAATTTGTTGAATATATCGGAATATCAAGTAGAGTGGAGCGTGTTTCTAATCAGACTGGCTTTATTTATGTAAAAATTAGCTTTCTCAACCGAAGTATATATAGATTTTTTTTCACTACTAACATTGATATATTAACAATTATAATTTTGACATTAGTAATTTTCTAACAATTTGTTGAATATATCGGAATATCAAATAGAGTGGAGCGTGTTTCTAATCAGACTGGCTTCATTTATGTAAACATTTGGTATGTATCAAATTTTTGATACATATCTTATTGCATTTTTGATATATTTCAATGTTCCACTTCTCTCATCGCTTCTGTATGTTCAGAACTTAGAATTTCTCATTATAGTGAGTTGCATGTCAAATTGAAACGGTACCTACAGTTTCCATGTTGAATACGAGATGTCGATGATAAGCGCGCAACATCTACTTAGGCCATGAAAAAGTTTGCCGGAGTTTCCATGACAATCACTGAACAATGATTATTATTGCTGTCAGTTTGCCAAATGCGGTTTCAATTCAAATTTAGATGTCATTTTGAAGTATGGGTGATTTAGAGATGATGTGTACCCCGCTGAAGTTAGAGTGGTGGCAGCTAGTATAAGTAGTGATTTATTGCCAGAAAAATCAAAGAGACTGTACATGAATGCATATAACTAACTGAAAACGTGGTGTGAAGAAAGGAAATTTGCTAAAGTAACAGAAAATATTTTATTAGCGTATTTCAAAGAGAAATCTGAAGGCAAAAAGGTATCGACATTGTGGGCAAATTATTCCATGCTAAAATCGACACTTGCAATTTTATTATGATATTATCATAATAAATATTCTTAATTCAAAGAACAGAACATCAAGGAAGTTTATTGTTGTTGTGCTACAATGGGTTAATTTTATTAAGAAATACTTAGCTTATAGGCCAACTGACATTACGAAACTATTTATTTTTTACCTTAAAGTTAAACATATCAAACAAATTATTGGGCACAATACTATTAGTAAAGTACCATATGTCGTGGCTAATTATCTCAAATTATAAAATCCTGAGTGTTATACTGGTTATTATCTGAGACGTAGCTCGGCAACACTTCTCGCAGAAAACGGAGGAGACTTACTAAGCCTGAAACGGCACGGTGGGAGGAAGTCGGCTGCAGTGGCTGAAGGATATATAGAGGAAGCAATAGCTGATAAGAAAAGAATCGTCGAATTAGTGCAAAAATGTAATTTACCCAATGAAGCTTCAAATATAACTTCTACAAGTCAAGAAGCTGTCTTAGAAAACGTCCGTGTTGAAGATAATTTAGTGGAAAAAGGTAATGGATGCGTCCAAAATACGAGGAATGTTTGTAACCCAGAAGTGAATTCACCTGGTCTAAATGTTAGTTCCATTAATACTGGAAATGCTGGAATACACATGATTTGTCACAATTAATTATAATTTCAAATAATTTTCAAGACTGTTTCCAATGTTCAATTCTCTACTTCTACTTGATAATCAAGTTAACAAAAGTTTCTGTGAATATCTTTGAAATTATAGAATTGTTCTCATTATTTACTTAGGTGTTTTT